TGTTCTTTCAAGACGTAATGGCTGAACACCAGGCAGCAGGTTTGACTATCTTTGTAGAGCGCTTGTTGTAATTTCACCATCATGTAACTGATGTAGAACAATTCAAATTGATAGTTTCCTGATAGCAGGGAAGAGGGGCTGTCATTTGATTCATGTATCCATTTTAAGCCTAGTCCATGGAAGGACATTACTGTAGGTGGGTATCACTGTGTCATTTGGGGTGTGAAAAATCCATACCCCAGAGGGATGCAGTTTAACCAACCTAACCCTTGGAGTACACCATGCTAATTGATGGGAAAATGCTACACTGATGGGAGAACTTCTCCTGCCAACATAGGCAATATCCTTACCAAAAAACATTGGTGCAGCTCTGCCATTGCAGTTTTTTAAGTGTAGACAAGACCTTAGGATGCTAATTAGGCTGTAGGAGAACTAAAAACACTTCTTTCTTTCTTCTTTTACAGAGACAACAATTTAGCCAGTCAGGGTGTGTCTAGACTACAGAGTTTTGTCAACAAAAGTGGACTTTTGTCGACAAAACTATACCTGCGTCTACACTACCACCGAGTTCTGTGGACATAACGTCGACAGAACTCAGCAGTTTTGTCGACGCTGGTAAACCTCATTTTACGAGGCATAACACCTTCTGTCGACAGAGTTTCTGTCGACAGAAGGTGTTATTGAATGTAAACTGTCCTTTGCGTCTACACTACCATGTCGACAAAGCAACTTGCTTTGTCGACAGAACTCAATGTAGTCTAGACGCTCTTTGTCGACAGAAGTTTTGTTGACAGTATCTGTCGACAAAACTTCTGTCGACAGAAGCCTGTAGTCTAGACGTACCCTCAGTTTCCACTTGCTCTGGCAATGGGATGGTGACTGAAAAGCAATATATTTCTAGTGTTACATTTCCACAGTATATTCAGATTTTTTTTCATTTGGCCATGTAATCTTAACATTTATTTTTGTGCATAAGATTTCTGGCTCACAAGGATTTGATCCTTGGCCACCTGACAGATAATGTGAACTTTTCATGCACAGAGTGCAGACTCACTAAAGCATATGTCTAAATCTACGGGTAGTTCAGTTCTTCCTCCAGTGTCATATATGGCATAAACCTAGGAAGGTTGTGGAATCTATCATGGATGATCTAGACAGTGCTTGGTCCTGCTGTGAGGGCAGGGGACTGGACTTGATGACCACTTGAGGTTTCTTCCAGAGCTATGTGCCAGGGCAATCTATACCAGGGCAATCTATGTGCCAGGGCAATCCATTTTTAGTTAATTGGGGCAAGCTAGTAATTGTTGGGTAAAGTAGCCCAAGTAAAGGTTCTGTCTGGTACTACCTAGCTCCAAATTAAACCCAAGATGACAGATGCTCCAGTGTGGCACAGCTGCTTTGTGTTGCACAGAGCGGGTGGAAATCTAACCCAAAAGCTGGCATTAGCAATCCAGCGAGCATCACCCCAATGACAGGGTGTTTCTGCAGTGGTGTAGAAGTTCTCATGCTGCTACTTCGTCCTGTGTAGCATAGTGGTGTGGCTGCGGTGCCTTTATTGGCTTTGATTACATCCACTTACGTTGGCATAGTATAGCGCAGCCCCTGGCTGGGTTTACCTTTTGGGAAAGGGCTGTTTGAAAGTCCTTTCTAAGTGGGACTTAATCCTTTCACCAAGGATGTGCTGGATGGGTGATTTCATTGCTTAAGATGATTCATATACTTAGGGTTTTTCCAGTGGTGGTGCCCTTTGGCAGTTGTTTCTGATAAATATAAGCAGGGCTCGACAAATAATACAATCTGGCAAGTAGATTGTAATCCGGAAAAACCGGGTTCGGGCGATCTGCGCGTGCACAGAATGATCTGCGCATCCGCAGATCACTGCACAGTGCGGCTGACGAGCGGGGCTAGCCGCGGTTTGGCGAGCCCTACATATAAGGAAGTGCTAAGGACAGGAATTTGGTGGTGGGTATCCTTTAACATAGTTGCCTGAAAATCCAAGTTGACATGCATGTGTCTTTATTTCCTAATCCTGTTATACGCCATACTTCTACTGCCACCTGGTGGCATGACGTAGAAGAAAACGTATTTGTTGTTTTGATTGGTTTTTTTTTTAAAGACTGTACGACATGCATTCTGTTACAATGTAGCTGCCCTGCAGTCATTTTTGCACACTGGCTTTTAAAATCACTTTCTTTTTGAAAGTCAAAAGATTTAAGAACTTTTAAAAAATGTCAGACAAATCCAACTCACATTGGGACAGGAAATGATATAGCAATGTTCATATAATGGTAATATCTCATTTTGATTAGGATATATCTAGGCCTTATGAGGGAAAAAGGTAATTGGTAAAATAGCATTTAAATACCACAGTGATAGATAACTGAGTAATAGCTGATAGACTACAGTACTAAAGTGTGCCACGTTTGCAGCTCTCGATTTAGTAAAACATTGTGAAGTTATTTTCTTTAGTCTTATTCACACAGTAGAAAGAAGATGAGAGAACCACATATGAAGTCTTTTCATCAGAGCTTTGGAATTTGTTTTTTGGGAACTCAGCATGATGCCTTAAAGTGGATTCAATGCTCCATTTTCAGACTTAATGAAATTATAATACACTACTGTGTAATTTCAATTTTTCCGGGAAAATTAGTTGAAACTATAGTAAAGAATAAAATTTTCAGATACATAGATGAACATAATTTGCTGGGGGAAAGTCAACATGGTTTCTGTAAAGGGAAGTCATGTCTTACTAATCTACTAAAGTTTTTTGGGGAGTCAACAAACATGTGAACAGTAGATATAATGTACTTAGATTTCCAGAAAGCTTTTGACAAGGTTCCTCACCAAAGGCTCTTAAGTTGTCATGGGATAAGAGGGAAGGTCCTCTCATGGATTGATAACTGGTTAAAACAGGAAACACAGGGTAGGAATAAATGGCAAGTTTTCAGAATGGAGAGAGGTAACAACTGGTGTTCCCCCGTGGGTCCATACTGGGACTAATCCTGTTCAACCTATTTATAAATGATCTGGAGAATGGGGTAAACAGTGAGGTGGCAAAATTTGCAGATAATACCAAACTGCTCAAGATAGTTGAGACCAAAGCAGACTGTGAAGAGCTTCAAAAAGATCACAAAACTAAGTGATTGGGCAACAAAATGGCAAATGAAATGTAATGTTGATAAATGTAAAGTAATGCACATTGGAAAAAATAATCCCAACTATACATACAGTATAATGGGGACTAATTAGCTATAACTACTCAAGAGGGAGATCTTGGAGTCATTGTGGATAGCTCTCTGAAGACGTCCACTGAATGTGCAGCAGCAGTCAAAAAAGCAAACAGGATGTTAGGAATCATTAAAAAAAGGATAGCGACTAAGACAGAGAATATCTTAAAACCATGGTAAGTCCACATCTTGAATCCTGCGTACAGATGTGGTCGTTTCATCTCAAAAAAGATAAATTGGCATTGGAAACGGTTCAGAAAAGGGCAACAAAAATGATGAGGGGTTTGAAATGGGCCCCATATGAAGAGAGATTAAAAAGACTGGGATTTTTCATCTTAGAAAATTGGACACTAAGGGGCGATATGATAGAGGTCTATAAAATCATGACTGGTGTGAAAAAAGTGAATAAGGAAAAGTTATTTACTTGTTCCCATAATATAAGAACTAGGGGTCACCAAATGAAATTAATAGGTAGCAGGTTTAAAACAAACAAAAGGAAGCTTTTCTTCATCCAGTGCATGGTCACCCTGTGGAATGCCTTGCCAAAGGAGGTTGCGAAGACCAGGACTTTCACAGGGTTAAAGAAAGAGATAGATAAATTCATGGAGGTTAGGTCTTTCAATGGCTGTTAGCCAGGATGGGTAGGAATGGTGACACAGGCTGGGAATGGGTTACGGGAGAGAGATTGCTTGATGATTCACTGTCCTGTTCACGCCCTCGGGGGCATCTGGCATTGGCCACTGTTGGCAGACAAGACACTGGGCTAGATGGACCTTTGGTCTGACCCAGTATGGCTGTTCTTATGTTTTTATGTGGATGCAGCCACATAACACAGAGGGAGCTGCAAATGTGGCTCACATTAGTAAATCAGCTGAGAACCACTGGCCTGTGCAGCAGTCCCAGCACTATATTGGTATTACTGAGACAGAACTTGTCCTGACGCATCAAATTTCTGCTATTTTGGGGGCTCATCTTATAGTCCTTGCTCATCAATGTTTTCCATTGGCAGTTCCCATTAGTTTTAATTTTAGGGTCTACTTCGCAAACCTATTCAGTTCAAATCAGCGAAGTCTAGCTATGACCTACAGTTGAAAAATAGATTCTTATAAATAAATTACTGTTTATTATTAGGACTGTAATACTGCTGTTTGTGGAAAGAGTTCCGAATGGATGGTGGAATGCTTTACTTTGTAAGGATGAGAACTGGAAAGAAAGCATGATGGAATATGTAACAGGCAGTTAGATTTGGTTAGTCACATCACACACTTGCTGTGCCTCCCTGCAGTCTGCTATAGATAATTCATATTTTGCTTCATTTCTGTTCTAAAATAGAACCCAGTTAAATATGTCATCACATATTGTATAATGTTGCTTAGGAATAGCTAATATTGCCAACAGCGGCTGAAAGAGATTTATATTTATACTGTCTATTAATAGAGAGCCTAATAAATCAATCAGTGGGCAGCTTTCCTTTGCCGGCAATAAGTTGTTTTAATGGCACTAGAGATGCAGCATTTGTAGAGCAAGGGGCGGGTGGAAATGGAACCCAGCATTACTTTGTTTATTGAGGAATAAAATATTAATGGGTAATAGGCAGTTTGGATGCTGGCACTGTTCCAAGGGGGTGTTGGGAGGGAGGCTTATAAGTCAGGTTCTCTGTATTTTGTATAGTTGCAGGAAACAGAGAAAAGCTGTTGTTTATAGTGTTGTCCTGCTTTTTCCCTCTTTTTGTTTTTCATAGCTGAAGTACCTGAATGTTTTCTTGTCTTTCAGCAATGGGGAGAAGGACTTGGATCCATCATACATAACTTTAGAGCTAACAACGTCAGTCCAATGACATGCCTTAAGAAACAGTAAGTCTCTTCTCTCCCTCTTTTTCCTCCTGCGTGTTTTCCTGGGCACATATTTTCCTATATGAACTTGGATTGTCCTTTCTTTTCTTGGCTGAAGAAGCGAAATTGCCAAAACAGAGTGCAGGAAAAATTCCCAGAGGCCAGGTCTACACTAGCACTTTTCAGTGCTGTAACCCTTTGGCTGAGGGGAGTGAAAAAAACACCCTCTCCCAAGCGCAGCAAATTACAGTAGTGTTACGCGCCAGTGTGAGCCAGGCTATAGCACTGGGAGCTACTCTTCTTCTTGCAGAGGAGGTTTACACAGAGCTCTTGGAGAGCTCCCTCCCAATGCTCGTGCTGTGGCTACACTTTTAGTTTTAAGCGCTGCCGCAGCAGCTCTGCCAGCTGCCTTTAAACCATAAAGTGTAGGCAAAGCCTCAGACATCAGCCTCCCCTGAGATGAATGTGTTAACCGCATTTAGGGTTCATTTTTCATTGTAACCATAAGAGCCTCTAGCTTGGTGTCTGCCTGAGAATGTGTAAGAGAGTTTACAAGAGTACATTTAATCTATTGAGGCTTGTGATTTTAATTATTGTCTTGTCTGTTCTTCCCTTGAGAGAGACACTTCACCCCCATGGGCGATACTGCTTTTGGAAGTTGCATGCGTGTAGCAAGGGAGAGGTCTGTCAAGGGACGTGTGATTTTTTTTCTAATTATTCTGGGCTGAATTTTGCCTCTGGAGCACATTGTAGAACTGCACTGTAGAACTGCCCTGCTCCACAGGGAATGCTTAGGAAGGAGATGGAATATCTCCTGGAACTTCCCAGCATATCCTCTGTTTTCTTTCACCCTTTATTAGGTTTAACATACTTCCTGTCCCTTCTCCAGGCCACTGGGCAGGGTAGTGGTGCTGTGGTACTCGTCTCCTCCCTGCCCAGACCTGCTTTCTCTCTAGCAGGGCTACTCAACTTTGGAAGTCCCGGGGGCCACAATGATACTCACAGCACATGCCAAAAGCCACAATTTAAGCGTGGGTGCATATACATGCAAATATATGCAAATGGCTTCTTTCACACAATGCCATGGCACTTCTAACACCTCCTCCCTGGGGGTGAGAAACACTGACACCCCGAACCTGTCTGTTCCAGCCAGCCTGTCCGCTTGCATCTTTCAGTGCTCACTCCACCTTGGAGACGCCTCGCTGTTGTGGAGCGTGTTCCCAGTGGAGACCATGTTCAAAGGATCCCACCTGCAGAGGCTGCATGTTGAGCCCCGCGTAAACCCAAACTGCACCGCAGGCCGCATACAAATGGGCCACATGTGGCCCACAGGCTACGTGTTGAGTAGCCCTCTCTATAAATTCGAAAGAAGCAGCCCCTGTACCGTACCTGCAATTCTGTCTGGTCGCCACATAGCCTGCAACCAGCAGAGGGCTCTGTATTCCTTCCGCTACAATGCCTGCTTGCTTGCATTGTCAGGTTGAGTCTGGTCTGTTGATGGGATGTGTCTCCTGCCTTTGTGAGTTTCAAAAAAGGTCATTCATGAGTGGAGGACTAGAACTGCTCTTGGTCATGGTGTTCATTTCACAAAGACAGCAGGCACCATTAACCTGAGAAAAAGTAGCTAGAACCGCATTTTTCTTTAAATAAATAAATACAGTCTTAAAATTGTATTTTTTTTCTACATTTCAGCTGGATGAAGCTGGCATTTCTGACAAACACAAATGGCAAAATTCCAGTTAGAAGGTAAGCCCAATTGGAGGAGTTCAGCAACCTACCAAATACATTTCGAGTAATGTGTATCAAATCATATGGGTGATATGAATTAATATGTGTGTTAATTATATTTGTGTAATATTAGTTGAATACGTATAATATAAAACAAGGTGGGAACTAAGACGATTTTGTCATTTTTGTTCTGTTCCATCTTTTTAAACAGGAAAATCAGTAATGAAATCAGTAATTTTTCCTTATTAAGAGCCTTAATCTGTAAGGTGTTATAGAAGGGTGACTCGCGTGAAATCCATTTGGAGCTAAGGGTATCTGCTAGCTTATAGGAGTGCCCATGAGCTCCTACCTAAGCGTTCTGGCATGGGTTTTTCAATAGTTAGAAGACAAGTTGAAAAGGCGTTATCAATACCCGCATACAAATGCTTCAGACTATTGCACATAGAATAGCAGGTACGTAGGGAAATATGATTAACTGCAAAACTGAAAGAGGCTATTTTGCCAGAATGATTGTTGTGTTCATGGGAACTTTTTGAGTAATATTTATGCCAGGCACTATGCAACCCATGGCAGGCTTAGGTTACTTATTGCCAGAGATTAAAAAGGCAACTGTGGAGCAAAACAATAGATTTCTCTGTAAACAGTTGTCTGGCTGAGGTGTCTGAGGTTGCTTTTCCTTGCTATCTAGTTTTACAGCATTTCTCTTACACATACGTTCTCCAAATCCTGTCATACAATTTGCCTTCTGTCTTCCTCACGCAGAGAACTTGCTAGAACTAGGCCATATTGCACACTTCCATAGCATCTCCGGTGGGAAGGAGGTGGCAAGAAGTGCCGGGAAACTTGATGAGGGTCCCCTTGTGTAACTGCCTGCCAAGGGACTTTCAGAATGGGGTCTTGGGCACTAACAAGCAGCCAAACCCCAGACCCATAGAGCCTGCGCCATTGCCCCTTCCTTTCCTGCGGCAGCTTGGCTCCAACCATAAGCACAGATGTAGAGTGCACCTTACAGGAGTGAATGCTGCTGCAGTTTATTAACATATCAGCTTTCACATGGCCAGTCCCCTCCTGGTCCTTTGGTAGCAGCAAACATCCATGGGGCACTGTCTAAGTAACGCACCTGTGGCGGGGGATGTGCCGAGTAGTGGGGGCAGGGGAATGATGCTGTGTGTAGATCAACTGAAGACAGTCCAGTCCCATCGCTCTAGTGACTTAAAAATCTTCCTGCCAGATCCTCATCAGGGCTTCTGAGCCCTTCGTCCTCCCTCCCCCCAATAAGCTGTAAAAATGCCAAAGCCTACCTCTGCCACAGTTACTGGCTTTATGGGTTGGTGTTCAGAGGTAACAAGCAGAGCAGTTGTCTGGGGCCCCGTGCCACAAAGGCCCCACACAAATCTACGCTGCTTTGGCTTCAGGTCCAGGTGGTGGTTCTCAGAGCCCCAGATTTCAGTTCCATGTGTTGGGGCTATGACTTTCTATCCTGGACCCCAACAAGTCTAACACTGGCCCTGGTTGGCAGATCCCCTGAAAGCTGCACGCAGCCTCTCCCCCTCCCCCAATTGGGCCAGGACCCCTGGTTGAGAGCCACTGGTTTAAATGAAGTAACCATCTTGGTCAGTACCTATAAACAGCTCCCCTTAAAAGCTGTTCAATTCTGAGTCATGTGTTTTCCTATATTGGTACAATTTCTGTGTTGCGGCAACAAGATCTCCTGTTCTGTTCAAAACAAAATGTTTTTAGCACAGTATGCTAGTAAATTAAGTCTGCTCTCCTGCCATTGCTCAACTGAAGGCCAGTTCTGGTTTTAAAAAAAATGAACGAACCCAGCCTTTTGATGGAATAATTAATGTGCTGCCGATCCAGTGCCTGGATTTCACACATATAAGGTACTGCTAATGGAGTGGTTCCAAAGCAGACATTAACATTTAAGAATATTATGTGGATTTCAGCCGGCAGTACTGCCTTGAAGGGATTTTAGTTTCCGTATAAATCCACCAAATCATTTGGCAGCTTTTGACAGATCTAATCCTGATGTGGGCTATGAAAAGGGAAAACTCCTCTGTTGCTCAGATTCTCATCCTTCAAGGCTAAAGAGTGCAGCACTGGGCCTCTCAGAGAAATGTAGATGGCAGTGAATTGAGTGTCCTTCAGTGACATTTCAGACCCTGAGAAACAGAGCGTATGGTTTCATTGAACAGCTTTTGAACACTGTAACTTTGAATCCATTGACTTCACCCGGAACTTTAGGCTGCTCGTCTAGGTGTCTCTTACAGGGTGTGCCAGCCCTTTTTGAGGGCTCATTAGAGACGCCACTGGTGTAAACACTCTCTTTTCCAGCTCTTATTGGGGAGAATATGAGAGACGGTCACTGAGCAAAAGGAGGGGTTGTCAAGGAAGCAGTTTAAGGTTAAAGGAAAGGAGAACCCAGCCTGCTAACTGTTTAGGCCTCTAGACCAGAGCTTTGAGGGGTAGATGACATGGAGGTTCTCTTCCTCTCTCAGCAACGAGGCCCCAGTGAGGACAAAAAGCCTGCCAGGACAGTAGTGCCAGATTCCAGCAAGGCCTGCTCGGTGTGGCGCTAGATACTGGTCTGTCAGGTGCCATTCACGGAGCAGCTTTGTCTGCATGTCCCTAGAGTCCTGCTAGATGGGCTAAGCAGGGTTTTCCTCCAGAAGTAGTTTCCCTGCAGAGGGATAGCTCAGTGGTTTGAGCATTGGCCCGCTAAACCCAGGGTTGTGAGTTCAATCCTTGAGGAGGCTATTTACAGATCTGGGGCAAAATCTGTCAGGGATGATATTTGGTCTTGCTATGAAGTCAGGGGACTGGACTCAATGACCTTTCAAGGTCCCTTCCAGTTCTAGGAGATAGGCATCTCCATTCATTTTTTCATTTAAAGTCTGGGGGCTTCCATGCGGAGAGGGAGGAGACTGACTCTTCTCTGTCTCAGTGCTCCCTCAGCTGGCCCTCAGACAACTTGCAGAAGGAGGAGGGCGCCTATTGCACAAGGGACTTTTGGCATGAGGAAGGGGGACAGAAAAAGGGGCACAGGGCTGGGGGGGAAGCTTGAGGGCAGTAGGACATAGGTGGGGAGAAGAGGTGACAGGAGGCAGGCCAGGAATGTAATGGGTCCAGGCAGGTCAGAAAATGCATGCACAAACCTTACAAGAACTGAGCATTTTACATGAAGTTTGGTATAACGTGGTTGAAAATACAGTTGCCATTACAAAAAGTAATTATCTGTCAGTTGATACCATGCTGTGAGTCATTTTTTATCATAAGGTCTGGTCTCCACACCGATTTCGCCAATTTCACTGAAGACTGTTTAAAACTGATTTAGTTTAACCCATGCAAACTCCCCAAGTGGAAACCTTTATATGGGTTTAAAACTGGTTATATCAGGTTAGCTTGTACCATACATTCATCAACACAATCTAAACCAATATAAAGTAAGATTAACTTGGCTTTCTACACAGTGTTGTGCACCATTTAAATGAAATCAGTTTACATTTTTACTTTTATTTAAACTGATACATCTTTGTGCATGTAGATCACTCTTAAGCAAAGAGGATAAATCTCAGACTTCATCTACTCTTGAAACTGGTATCTTATAATTTATAGGCCTTTACCAGCATAGCTATGCTAACAAACTCTGCCACAAAGGTACAGCTAGGCTGGTGGACAGGTGTCATGGCTCCGAACTTTTATTATTTCAACAATATTCCTGTTGCAAACATAATGACTAGATAGGGAGGTAACAAAATATATTCATGGAAAAACTCCATGGGCCTAGAACTTAGTTACAAAGAAAAGCCAAAACATCTTTTAAGCAATGCCAGATCTCAGATCCCATACCCAACCCTTAAAACAATAAAACCTAACGAAACTACCTAAACTTTACCCTACTTACAGAAAATGAAGAATGGTGTCTTGGAGAGAGAGAGAGACATGCTTGCCCCTCTCTGTAGCTGCAGAGAACTCCCCCAGACAGACAAAAAGACAAAGGAAAAAACCCAAATTCCTTTGTCCCAGGTTGAAAGTCCCACCTACATTCCTACTGGACGCTCCACCTGGCTAGGTGTAGTTAACCCCTTAATACCCAGGCTGCTGGCTAATCCTCATAATCATGACAACAGGTGCCTTTGATTGCATAGCTAACGCTCAAGAGGGAAGCAAAGGGTGTTCTTACACAAGCAGAAACACTTCTGTCAGTATAAGCTGCATTTGCACTAGAGCGCTATGCCAGTTTAGCCTTGGATACTACTGTTAGGTAACTGTTGGCAATTATTGTACCCCAAGACTTTCCCACGCTATTTAGGAAGTTATCCTTCTAGCTCCAGAAGAAACCAGGAAATGGGAGGAACCAAAACAAAAACTGTTATGAATAGTCTGTATTTTGTTATTTTTCAGGGGTAAAGGTTTGTTCCAACACTTTCTTGTTTCTTTGCCATTTCATCCATCTTGAACAATTGTAGTGGAATGAAGTAAAAATAATCCTGAATCCTGGTTTCAGTACATATTTTTTTTAAAACTGAGTAGTGAAAAGTACATTGACACTTGATATTGAAACTTTTGTAGGATATATCATGTAGTAATATTCCCCGCTGCAGCACTAACCCAATTCACTTTCTAGCGTAAGAAAGAAGAATGCAAATCTGCTACAATCAAATCACTTTTGACTGAAAGCTATTGTTTCATTTAGCAGAAAATACTTTATATAAAAATATCATGCAGAACTTGTGATTCATGTGATCTTTTTCTAGGGTGATGTACTCAGAAGTAATTACTACCATGTTTGCTGTCTTCAGTGATGAAATAACACGTCTGGAGCTGTGGAATTTTGGCTCACAGTTTTAGATGAATTGTTTATGCTAATGTTAACGGGGTTGACACAAAACGTCTGTTAATCCATGTCTACACTGCAACGCTATTAAATAGCTATTCTTCGTCTATTGAGCGCACCCATTATTTCAAAACACATTATTTCAAATTCCGACGTCCCTGTAAGCCTCATTAAATGAGGAGTAAGAGACGTTTCGGAATAGCTCTTTATTTCGAAACCATGATGCCAAGAATAAGATTAGATGCATTGCACTTGATTTTCCTTCTTTATCATGCCTTCCATATTTTGAGCTGCCGGTGCTTTGTAGACGCACCCTTATTCAGCAGCAGCCAGAGCCCACCAGGCTCTGTAAATCTTCACTGGAACCTGTGCAGCACATTCCAGGCAGGACAGAGGGCTGTCTGGGATAGGCACTGCGTGCTTCAGGTGGTGCTGAGGACTGGCTGCCCTGGCCCCGCCCCTTGCACCCAAGACCTCCCCCTTTCTGGGAGTGCAGTGCCCACACACACACACACACACCTTGCTCAGTGTCTCAGTGATTCTATCAGCTGTTGGCTCCCCTGCCTGCAACTAGCAATCCTGCACATCCTAGTGCAATGTTCCTCAAAGATAGAAAGGATTCAGTAGATAACATCTGAGATTTTAAAAAATGGATGCCTAAAGTTAGACTCCTCGGTCCCTACTTTGATAGGAGCTGTTGGGTGGGCAGCAAATTTGAAAATCAGGCCATTTATGTAAGTGCCTAAATATATACATAGGAGTCTAATTTTAAGCACCTGCTTTTAAAAAAAAACTTGACAAAAAATATTAATTTATCTTTGGCTGATCTTTATTTTATTGGTAGGCCGATATTTACCCAAGTGGCTCTAAGTGTTTTGGAGAACAAAACAACCCTTGATTGCTATGGGGACAAACAATGGCAACAGTGTATATCACATCTTTCACTTGTGTATTTACTTAGTGTCCATGATATTAATAAGAAGTCTCGGAAAATTCACTTGGTGATAGAAGGCTGCATATTTTAGTCATATTACTCTTGTGAAGTCTTTCCAGAGGCAATGCTCATGTTGGTTTATGAACATGTCCCTATGCCAGAGTATTTGTATCCACATCAGGACACCAAAGTAGGGGAGTAGTAACCCCCATGGTTTGGGTTCAACCCTTTAGAGAGAGAGGAAGGCTAGCTGTGACGTTTGGATCTAACGTTTATGAAGCTCATCTCAGGTAGAAGCAGAAATAGAACAAATGTCTTCACATCAATCAAATCAGATCTCAGAGTTGGATTTATTTTATTGCAAGTAAAAATGAGGCTCTTAGTCTAATGAATGGTGACATAACTCCTTCTTTTATACAAAGAAACCAAATTGGTCGAGGAGTTTGGAGGACGTGTCTCAGCTGAAGTGGGAAGGAAGCAAAAAGAGATTTTATTTGGTCTGTCCGGAGGAGGAAGAGCTTTGGTGGGAGCAGATTAGAGAACCTATCAAGGGAAGAAGGAACAGCAAGAAAAGAGTAACAACTCTCTGTGGGAGGAAGGTGGGATTGGTGAATAAATGAGGAATCAGAATTTGGAGAGGTTGGTATGGGGAGAAATGTCTTCAAAAGAAAGGAGAAAAGCAGCAGAGGAAAGAATGGATTTCCCTGCAGGATGGCTGGATGGATAGATTAGTAGGATAGAAGGGTGAGAATCACTCCTATGGGTGTAGCAGAAAAGCCTTAAGCCTAACGTTGAGTTCCCTAATACTTACCTTGTTTGTAGATCCTGCTGCTTTTTTGACACAGTAACGTGTCTGTGGATCATGTTGAAAGCTGCCAACAGAACAATGTGTTGCCAGCTCATACTGAACAAACCTCTTCGTTCTTTGGGCAGATCCCTGTTGCATTAAACAGAGAGCAGGCATGTTGCTTCTGCTCTGTGGAAACTTACATCATTGTTACAACTGTGCTGGTACACAGCTGTCACTAGAAGTCATGTTCAAAAACGGAATGTTTTGAGGAAAAAAAGGAGTAAGAGACTGAAACTCATTATTTTAAAAGCGACTAATTGTTTTTCTCCCTTTCCTTAGTATTACCAGAACCTTTGCATCAGGTAAAACAGAAAAGGTGATTTTTCAGGCCCTTAAGGAGCTAGGCCTTCCCAGTGGAAAGGTATTTATCAATTTAAAATAACATTTGTATATTAAGAGATCATAGAACCTATCAGATGATATTGTTATGTGTTGAGTTGTTTGCGTCATGCAAAAAAACATGCCTTATGTCCTCAGACAGCTTTACACAAATGTTAGCTAGGACTTTTTTCTTATGTCTCAGTGTGCTGAATATAAATATTCTAACGTTCATGTGATCCACGGATGGGGAACCTTTTTTGGGATGGGGCCACTGACCCACAGAAAAATAAATCAGGGGCCGCACATAAGTGAGAAAGTGAGGGGGAAAAAAACCCTCATTGACGTGGCTCCCGACTAAGAAGGAGAAAGACTCTCCCTACATTCCCCTCATACACTAACCTAGGGCCCAGGCTAGTAGATTTTGTGTGCTACAGTCCCACGGGACAGTGGGGGCAAGAGGAGCGAGAGCACCAGCACAGGCACCCCACTGCAGGGGCGGGAGGGAGTCCCAAGCCTTAGGGGCTCGATCCAGGCAAACCGAGAGCCACATCCGGCTTACAGGCCTTAGGTGCCAGACCCCTGTGGACTTCAAAAGGCAAAATAAAGACTGTGTCTTTGTTCTGTATTTACTTTTTACATATGTGTATTGGTTTTGTTTTTATTGTCATAAATAGACTTAATGTTCTGCGTCAGACTATAAGGCTGTGTCTACATTAGCACCCTTTTCCGGAAAAGGGATGCTAATGAGACCAGTCGTAATTGCAAATGCCGCGGAGGATTTAAATATCCCCCGCGGCATTTGCATGAACATGGCTGACGCTTTTTTCCGGCTCGGGGTTTTGCCGGAGAAAAGCGCCAGTTTAGACGGGATCTTGCGGAAAATAAGCCCTTTTCCGGAAGATCCCTTATTCCTACTTTCAAGTAGGAATAAGGGATCTTCCGGAAAAGGGCTTATTTTCCGGAAAATCGCATCTAGACTGGCGCTTTTCTCCGGCATAACCCCGAGCCGGAAAAAAGCGTCAGCCATGTTAATGCAAATGCCGCGGGGGATATTTAAATCACCCGCGGAATTTGCAATTGCGATGTGTCTCATTAGCATCCCTTTTCCGGAAAGGGGAGCCAATGTAGACACAGCCCAAGCGTGCCAAACAAATTTGGAACAAGAACAAAAATTAGAGCTCTTTTCAGAAAACATAAATAAAGCCATGTGCACTGGGCAAAGGTTACTAATATTCTTCTAATACTCAGACATGCTGATAGAGAATAAACCAGCTTTTGCTAATCAACCTTTACGTTTCTTTTCAGAATGATGAAATTGAACCTTTAGCTTTTACTTATGAGAAATTTTATGAACTAACACAAAAGATATGTCCTCGTACGGACATAGAGGAACTCTTTAGAAAGATGTAAGTTAAATTCAACTAATTTTAAATTGTTTTACTATCATTTTAGTCTATTTCTATTATTATTGGTACAATACTGAACATTGTAAAGAATTCCAAACTTTGACTCCTAATACCATGTATAGTATTTGCAGACCAAGTCACAACTGCCTTTTCTTACCCGTTTCCTCCCAAATTATTAATGTAAAAGTTCATTCTGTATTTTAGAGGAACTTTTACATGAGTTAAAGGAAGCACCTGGAACTTTTTTTGCATTGGCTTTACTAACTACCTATAATTTTAACCTGCTCCTTAAGGTTATTAACACAGTATGTAAACTAACTAGATTAAACAAGAAGTCTAAAAGTTTGTTCAATCAGATTCTTTTCAAATGGAGGACTTACATGTTGTTTTCTAAATTAAACCTGTTAAATCATATTGAGAAGAGAGGGTATTATACTGTAGCAAGTATAGACAGTTTGTTTACCTTGACAGTGTCTGTTCATTTTGAGAATACACAGCTACATCAGTGTTAGGAAACTAGAAGGGTTAGAAAGTATCAACAATGTCAACATGTAAATCATACCTACTGTAGCATCATATATGAAAACTTACTTTTTCTAATAAATTTCTTTTCAGCAATGGAGACAAAACTGATTATTTAACGGTAGACCAATTAGTGAGCTTTCTAAATGAAGTAAGCTTTTTCATACATTAACTACCATACAAGTTTGTCTGCAGTGGCTTGCTTCTTCCAGTCTTCTCATTGCATGTTTCATGCCATCATTTGCTATGCTTCTGATCTGCTGATCTTTTCATTATGGCAGTATCCAGGTGCAAAAATCAGCTCCAACCTTATATGTTCTTTTGCTTTCTCTGTGTTGGCTTTGCGGATTGCTTCTGTTGATTACTTGCTGTGGCGTGAAGCTATTGTTGCATATGTTTTATAAATGTTATACTGTTATATACAATGTAATTTCAACTAAAGTATACTCATTGTTATGAGCAATTATTTTACTTTTAGGCATCTCATTGAAAAACAGAAACATGAAGTGGGCTTTTATATGCAGTAGTTTGATTCTCCACTATGAATTTTTTTTATCACGAATCTATGGGTCATACACATTTTAATGGATCATATGTGATTTTGAAAATATTAAAAGTATGAAGGATAGAAGGAAATGTATTGGCAGCAGTATTTCTAAAATGCACCTTTATTAGCAAGATAAATGAAGAGTATGCAGTGTTCCTTCAATCTAGTATCTAAAAAATCACTTTATTAATGTGTGCTATTTTGTTCCATTTCAAAAGCATATTAAGATGTGAAAATATGATTCCTGAAACTACACACCACTTAGGTGAATTTGACAGAATTTACTTGAAATAAATGAAGTATTATGAACACCAGTAATTCCTCAGCTTTCACATCTCTAAACCCTTTTTCCCAATAGTAGAATTATATTATTTCTGCATAGAGTCTTTGAGGGAACAATCTAAGTACAAACTTATAAAAAAATCAAAACACCACAAATTGCTATTTTCTCATTTCTTTGTGCAGAAATGTAAACATCACCCATGTCTCAATCTAAGAGCATGTGCAAAAGAGAGAGCCCTTTTGTTCTCCGTTTAAAAAGCAGTATAATGCCTTATTCATCACCAACAGTGACCCAAGCATAGAAAAGTTTTTTTTAAGAAGTAACAGTTTTACCACTGTCTAGTGGACTATGCCTATGGAGTACACCACACTCATTGGCTGCCCCAGATTATATCCTAATCTTGCAAACAAATATACACAGCTGTGAATAGTCCACTCGCAATCCACAGTTATGAAGTTACGCATGTGTGCAAGAGCTGGGCTGTGATTGGTATGTGTGACTAATCCACACTTCTGAGTGATATAAAATTACTCTGTCCTAATGCTGGTGTGGACGGTGCTACATCAGCAAGAGAGCTTTTCCCACTGACATAGCTACCACTGCTTGTTGGGGGATGGATTAATTAAGTTGACAAGAAAGCTCTCTCCTTTCATCTTAGAGTGGCTGTGCTAGGGAGCATACAGCTGCATCAGTTCTCTCGTGTCATCACAGCCTAAGTAGCTTTAATGTGTTGGTCGTGATGTGTAAGCGCTTAAGTGGCTTGGAACCGAAATACTTAAGACGTTATCTGCTTCTCCCTTCGTGTATGGCCAGCCCTCTCTGCAGTCAGCACAGGTGCTCAAGCTGGAAAGCACAAAAGCTTATTGAAAGAAATGAAGTAGGTGAGGCAATACCATTTATTATGCTGAATTCTCTTGTGGAAGGAGACAAGCTTTCACAGTGTCACAGAGTTCAGAAGTCTACGTGTCTGCTCCACACGCTGCACGACGATGCAGCTGTGCCGTCGCACCGGGTCCGGCAACAGAATACAAACAGCTCCAACAAGCGGCACTAGCTTCACCACTGGGAGCGTGGCTCCTGCCGGCCAAGTGCTGTCCTCAGCAGTGCTTTAACATACGTTGTTCAGGGAGGTATTTTTTCATACCCCTGAGCATCACATGTTTTAACCATGAAAGTGACCCTATAGACAAAGCCATAGACCTAGGAAGGTCTGTCACAGGTAGATACAAAGTGGAACCGATTGTTAAGCATCAGCGTTGTTAATACGTTTCCATGAACACCGCTGCAGTCACAGAACAGAGGAGGGGGTGAGTGGGTTGTAGACTGGTGAAAGAGATGGAAAGGCAGAGTGCAGATTTCCTTTGAGGATGGGGGCCGTGAGGCCAGGTATGAAGTGATTGTGTCACATTTGATATGGTAGGTTTGGGTCTTCAGCTCGTTTTTCTACGTGAATTACTTCAAGAGCGTAGGGATTGTCTCATTTCACCCATATTTGAGGGGGAGCATAGGAAAGAAATCTTTCCAGCAAAGGCACTGGCTTTATTTTTTCTCAGGGGTGCTCTCCCTCCACTCAGTCCCATTTCACCCTCCACGGCCTGCCCTCACTCTGCCTCTTCCCTGTTCCTGCTCCACCCGCTCCATTGCCACCTCACTGCTCTCTGCCCACCCTTCTCTAGCTGCCACAGGGCTGATGGGTGACACTGCTGAACAGCTGTGTCTGGGGGGTGCTCACGCCCCAAGCAACCATGGAATCAGCACCTATGTTTTCCTGAACTCCATCTTCTGGCCTTCACACAAACTTTCCAAACTCACCAAGCAAAGCTCTGCACAAACCATGACACAACTCGGCAGTGCCATGCCCTGCCCTGCCGGAACAACAGATGCAAAAACTGCAGATAGCTCTCCACTGCAACAACAATCAATACCCCTCCAAACGCACCTATTAAAAACAAGGGGAGATACAAGCGCCTCTCACGCCATGTGGTGTCCCTCATCCTGCACATCATTAGGCCCAATAACAGCTACATGGTTGTAGATGTGCCCTAACTCTCCTTTATTCTGTGGTTGCAGAGATGTTAATGACCAACTTCATTTTGAATGGTCCTTTGAACATGTGCTTAAAAATCTTCTCTACCTATGGTTTCCAGACGGTTTCAACAAAAATACCGAACACACTTGACATTACATCACAATCTACATTACATCTTATTTAGAAAATAACGGACATTTATATTTTCTCAATTTGTTTCCCAAACAGAAAGCTCAAATACTGGACTGTCTGGTTCAAAACCGGACACCTGGCAACCCTAGCTCTGCCTTGTACTTAGCTGTGACACCGATTATGTCTTCTAGAACTGAAGAGCTCTATGTAATTCACAGCTATGTGTGTCTCACCAGCGGAAGCTGGTCCAATAAAAGATAAGATGTCACTCACCTTGTCCCATCCATGTCCTAGAACCTACATGGCAACTGCAGTACTAAAAATAATAAAATTAGTATCATTATAAAAAAGCCGTGGCTGGTGACAGGGCAGTCTTAGGGAGGGGACCTGGATTGTTAAATTTGTTCCCCCTTTGTTCCAAAATAGCCTAAATTTGGTGAGCTTCCAGACTTGTTACAACAGCAGTTTTTTATACGGTTTTTAGTGATGGATGAGGGTATATTCCTAGATGGGTATGATTTGGGAGTGAGGCTTTTCTGGCCTCTCTTTTTTTTTTTTTTTCCTGTTATCCGAGGTAAATTACTAACTCCATTTTGACTGTTTAATGCTAGCAGCTGACAGTTCATTTATTTGTGTATCATTATTAATGCTAGGATTTTTATAAGACTAATTATCATCAGCCACTCAGCAGTTCTGTGTGTATGTTCTTTTTTCAAGTTAAATCCAAGGAAAAAGAAAAATAATAGAGAAATGAAATAGGCCCCATACTACTAAGAGTTGCTTCTGCTGTTTGACAGCCATAGATTTTAGCTTTGGCATACGTGAGTAATTATCAAAAGTAGTAAATTAGTACAATCTGGCCTGAACTCTGGCTTTCTCCTGGGAAAAGAGTAAGATGAAATGGGATAATGGATCCTTCTTGTTTAGTAAGTTTCCTTTTTCTGTTTTAATAGAAAGGGGCTATTATTTGTGCTGGGCCTCATAAATCCCAATAATCGAACTGGCTTCTTGCAAATCATGAGTTGTTTCACAAGACAGCAAGTATTAACTGGCTAGGTAAATGGTGCCCATATTTGTAGAGAATCCATTTCTTCCTTCTTTCCTTTTCCAAAGTAAACAGGTAACTGTCTAGTTCTCGCCTCTCCCCCCCCCCCCCCAAAAAAAAAAATGATTTCACCCTCTTGTTGTTAAGGAACATCTGGCAGAAAGAAATGGATCCTGTCTTAACATAGTATCTGGAGCAATCAATAGTAGTTTTGGTGGACATATGTGATTAGTCACAGGAACTTTGTGAGTTTGATATTGATCAGCTATGTTGTTTTACATTATGAATTCCCTGTGCCAACAAACTCACTAGCATTAACATTCATGCTGGAGATCCTACTTGACATTATTTTTTCAAAAATCTCACAAACTGTCAAGTTCTGTTAGAATTTTTTAAATTAAACTTAAGAGACCTATATTTTGCCTAAATGAAAACAAAAACAAGATAATGAGCAATGATCATGATGACAACAACAAAAACCTTACGGTTAGTTCTGTTCAATAATTTCTTCGCTGTGACTGCTATGAAGTGTTGTTTGCCTTCTCCCCTTTATTTTCTTTCTCCATGTTACCTCTGTTTGATTGACGATTATCCATGAAAGAGAAAAGTGGGGTAGAGCTCATGTCTTTAATAAGAGCCTCCTCTCCGCTTTCTTTCAGTTGTTTCAAATGATGCGTTTTCACTAATGGTGCAAAGCTTGTCACGTATGATTACAGGTGGCCGGCTGTACCGTTGCATGCTAGTGTTGTGCTCCTAAGAGATGCTTAGCAAGGTGTGTCTTGCATTCAGCTGCTTACATTTCATATTTCATCTGAGATTTACCTGAATATCCAGAGATCCAACATGTGAATTTAACTGTTATACTTCAAATGTTGTAGATTGTCAGTAGCATTAAATTGAAGAATGCTTCATCAACTGCATGATTAAATTGGCATTAGTTGTAATTTCTTAGAATTAACCAATCACACATGCCAATGTGTTGGTTGTAAGGAACAGATCAGGTTGCTTTTTTTTTTTTTTTTTTGATTGCACACTGCTTGATCCGAACAGAATACCAAAATATTTGTATATAAGGAATTACAGCAAATGCTCTTAGTACCTAAACCATGTACATCCCACATTGTCCACTCCTAAATTATTGGTCAACAATAGGGGGTGGCCCATATTACATTTGTGAATGTAAATTACAGCATCAAACCTGCACCTACCTGGGTAAAAGATGCGTCCATGTTCATATTTGTTTGTTTTTGCTTTTGCATCTGCTTACATGCCACTATTCAGTTGAATTATGTTTTTAGTTGTTTTTTTTTTTATGGAGAATCAGGCGCACAGTGTGCAGCTCCAGTGCAGTGTGAACAAAAGTGAAAATCGCATTGCACATAGCCAAATGATGGAGTCATGAATTAGGCCTTGAGAGATTTATTGGAAGTCCCTGATACCTCAATTGCCTAGTTCAAGAAATATTTGTGTATGGTACAGCTTGAACCTCTCTCATCTGGCATTCTCTGGTCCAGCAAAACCTATGGTCCGGCATGATTTTAGTTAGCCGGCTGGCCTCTTATCCTGGGTGTGGATAAGTTTCCCTCAGTCCCATAAAGGTTTTTACAGCCAACGGTCCTGGTTCTCAGTGTTCTGTGCCATTATGTAGCTTTAATTTACCCCTAATTGTCTTCTAAGAGCCAATAAGCAGGAGAAGTGTTGACCTCCAATGGTCCAGTATATTTTCTGGTTCGGCACCAGTAAGGTCGCGAGGGTGTCGGACTGGAGAGATTCAACCTGTATTATAAAATCCCTGCATCATTCATTACTATGAATTTTGGGGTGATACTATGGAGATTATTTTAATAATTTACATATTTCCTCTATGATCCTACATTGATTTTTCAGCAAGTTGAGTGCCCCAGTATTTATATGATTCATAGAGATAATTAACACCCAGTAACATATTTCTAAATGCAGGTTCCACGTAGAATATTAGTAGCAATTTTTTTATTTTCTTAATGTTTATTTTAGTCATCTGTATTGATGCAGACACAAGTTTTATGAGGGGATAATTACATTAACATCAGTCAGACCCATCAGTTTGCATGACTTACCTAAAAGATTTCTGGCAAAGGAAGAGGATTTACCTGTTACTAAAGGATCTGCTGTTAATTGTCAAAATTTTATTGGCACAGAGGCCACATGAGTTATTTTATTGTAATGAGTAAATAGCAATAAAATATGTTATATGATTGCACTGGAGTATTTTCCTGTGCAAACTGCCTGTGTTTTTCATAGATAACTAGATGTAAATTTGTATAATGCTGAAGTTACAATTGGGATATTCTGTAAGTTTTAGTTTTAAAAAATTGTCCTCCTCTTTCTTTCTCGTCTGCAGTAATGACATGCTCTTGATGCTGCTAAATTATGTCCTGCTAAATTATGTTATTTTCTAACCTTAGCATCAACGAGATCCTCGTCTGAATGAAATTTTATTCCCATTCTATGATTCAAAAAGAGCAATGCAGATAATTGAGACATATGAGCCAGATGAAGATTTGAAGAACAAAGGTAAACACAGCGGGAGAGGGGACATCTGTACATCAAAAATTAATACAGGTTGGACCTCCTTGGTCCAGCACCATCAGGACCTGACTGGTCCCAAGCAAGAGAATTTGCTGGATCAGGGGAGAGCCACTGGCTCTCAAGGCTGCCCTAGCAGGCACCCTGCCTCGCCTCCCTAGTAGAGGCTCTGACTCCTGACACGGCGCTCCGGCCCTGCGCATCTGGGAGAAGCCACAGGACTCCGGCACTGGGGCTGCTGCAGGGCGTCAGCCCCAGCCCTGCGCTCCGATAGGCTGCTCCGAGGATCTGGCCCCATGCTGCCGTGGGGCTTAACTCCAGCGCCACACTCCTGGGGGTTGCCGTGGTGCTCCAGCCCTGTGCTCAGGGAACTACTGCAGGGCTCCGGCCCCAGCCCCGCACTCCAGGAAGCTGCCGGAAGGCTCTGGTCTTGTGCTGCAGTGGGGTTCCCACCTCAACCCTCCTTCCCTCGGGCTCCCAGGCTCTCTGATCCAGGAGCATCCGTCATTCTGTTGGATGATGGATGTTGCCAGAACAGAGAGTACTGGTGTTTGGAGGTACAACCCATACCACATTTCCTCAAATTTTAAAAAGCACCTTAATGACTTAGGGTCCTGAGCCCCATTGATCTTGAGGCCAGGTTTACAAGATCTGGTATTAGGGATATAAAAGATTAACCAGTTAGCCAGTAAGCCTCACCCTTGACTTACAGCTTCCTGGTTCAGGTTAACTGGTAGGGGCTAGAGCCGCTCCCCACCTGGCTCCCTGGGAGGGAGGTCAGCAGCTCCAGCCCCCCGGGACCCACCAGAGCATCCCCTGTCCGTGGCCTCAGGTTACACGCTGGCTTCCCAGGGGCCGGCAGGAGCTGCTGACCCTACTCCCAGGGAGCCAGCTGCAGAGCCTGCAGCATGTAGAACGGCTGTGATTTTAGCGGTGACATGGTTACATTTTTAACTGCGTTTTTACATCCCACATTGGTACAACTACATCAGTAAAGGGTGTGAAAAATCCCCTAATGCTTGGTGTAGATAGCATTACGTTCATGGAAGGGCTTGGTCTTTTGGCAGAGCTGCTGCCTCTCCTGGAAGTGGTTTAACTATGCTGACAGAGATGCTCTCCTGTTGGCATAATAGCCTCTTTACTGAAACGCTCTAGCAGTTCAGCTGCACCGCACATTTCAAGTGTAGACCTGCCCTAAGCAGTGACTGAGGCACTTGGACCATTTTTTACTCTTCGCTCTTTTTTGATACTCAGGCGGGTACTCAGTTACTGCAATTAAGGGGGACCAGGATAGACTCTTTAGGTCCCCACTTTAAAATATATCATTGCACAGGTCCATAGTAAAATGCTGTGTAGGACACTGCAAGATTCATAGTTTTCTTGAAGTTATGGATGAGAATTTTGAAGTTTCCAACTCTATTGGGAGAATAGCTTATTTTGTTTACCTCTCTATACGTACAAAATGTTCTCCCTATTAATTTCCTGCTCTTGTTGTTAACCTGATCATATTGGTCACACGTTTAATGCAGTCCAGATGCCAGCATATATCAGATGTTTTCCCAAAAAGCTTAAGGTGTAATGAAAATAATTTCAGAAAAACTTACACCTATGTTTTGGATGGGCAGAAATTAACACAAATCAGTAGTTTATGAAGACAGGGATTTTGCTGACAAGAAACTGTATGCAGAAACTGATGAAGGCATCAGCTTCTATGCTACTTTCACATTTGTTCAGGCACTCATTGGGCTCGTCTACATTGGCCCCTTTTCCGGAAGGGGCATGTTAATTTCAGCGATCGTAATAGGGAAATCCGCGGGGGATTTAAATATCTCCCGCGGCATTTAAATAAAAATGTCCGCCGCTTTTTTCCGGCTTTTAGAAAAGCCGGAAAAGAGCGTCTACACTGGCGGAAAAAGCGCCCTTTGAAGTAGGAATAAGATCCTCCAGAAAAGGGCGCTTTTTCCGGAGGATCGGGGCCAGTGTAGACGCTCTTTCCGGCTTTTCTAAAAGCCGGAAAAAAGCGGCGGACATTTTTATTTAAATGACGCGGGGGATATTTAAATCCCCCGCGGATTTCCCTATTACGATCGCTGAAATTAACATGCCCCTTCCGGAAAAGGGGCCAGTGTAGACGTAGCCATTGAGTCATAGTAGCAACTTGAGCCTATTGTTTTAATTCTTACCTTCTTTATTAGTTCTGGTGCAGTGTACACAGATATGGAATGTCTCCTGCAGAAAAATGGATGGGATTTTGTCTGATGTTGCTTTTTCCTTGTTGGGGTTAATTCATGCGGGTTTCACCCCATTGGAATTAGTTGGGGAAGGGAAGGAATTAGCCCCAGAAGTTATGAATCGCAAACATAGACAGGGCATTCATCCACTTTTAAACCACACGGTCCTCTTGTCAGCATGGAGACAAAATCAGACTACATTTTGTCCGGTATGACACGGGGATGATATTTTGAAAATCACCAGTGTGATGCTGAATGCAACATCCATATGAGGTCATGCCAGCAGGCGTGGGTTCCCACCAATCCTGGAAATACTATGGTTCTATTATTTTGGGAACGCCAAATATCCACCAACTTTTCACAGTCTTACATTTTTTTTCCTCCAGACTAATCACATGCCATGCTTGGAGCCTCTTTACTCTGTTAGTTTAAAGTTCATAGGGGGAAAAAATAGTTTAAATTTCTCTGTAATTTTTTTTCATTTTATCCTAAGTTAAAACCACCTGAGAGGATTTGATTGTAACCGAAAATTAGCCCCAAGTGAGAATTTTTCACAAAGTTATGAGCAAGTGCAAGTTGCAGGTTTGTTGAAACAAATAGGTCATGTGAAATAAAACAAAATTAGATACGTTGTGACCTATCCCTGGCTAATAACAGAGCTCTGATGTTTGACATTAAGACCCATGAACTTCAATTTAAAATTGTGTTAAAATTATGTAATATAACTAGTTAAATGGTTCCTTCCTCCCCCAGATTTTTTTTAGCACAAGGCCATTTTTTAAATAGATGTCACAGACAGATTCTAATCTGATTTACACCAGAATCTGTCCCCTCATCTTTTACAATTTTTGAAGCACAAAACAAAAAGAGGGGAAAGAAAACTTAGTATGAACACTGTGGTCAAAGTTACTCTCACACAATAAGTCCCATTGTGTGTACAGTAACTTTCAATATTCCATTTTTTAACACGGCTTTGTTTGTACCAATAATGTTTTGGCTTTCATTGTTAGGAAGATAATCTCTTGTGTGTATTTCAAACTGTTGGATGATTAGCAAAAGTCCTGAACCTTCCATGTTTTGGAAATACATCCAAAATAAATTAACTTTGTAGAGCATGCTAATAAAATCTTTGGAGTCTAGGTTTTGAGAATCTTGTATTTAAATTGCTATTGTTAATTTTCCTTCATCTGCTGTTACAACATACCAGCACCTCTTTTTGGTGACAATGTCTGTGATATTTCAACCACTGTAATGATCTCTAATCTCTGCAAGAATACAGGGGGGAAAACCCCATAAAGCTATTTTTTTCCTTCCAGGTCTCATCTCAAGTGATGGCTTCTGCAGATATTTGATGTCAGATGAAAATGCCCCAGTCTTCCTAGACCGTTTGGAATTATATCAGGAAATGGACCATTCTTTGGCTCACTACTTCATCAGTTCCTCCCACAATACCTATCTAACAGGCAGGCAGTTTGGCGGGAAGTCTTCTGTAGAGATGTACAGACAAGTGCTTTTGGCTGGTTGCAGGTTGGAATATAGGATAATGGATTTTATACTTAATATTGTTTCAGGGAAATCAAATGCTTCATGTTATGTACCTCGACAATTCCATATGAATATAAGAAATATGATGAATATAAAAATATAAGTACAATTATTTATTTTACAAAAACATGGAAATGGTAGCGCCGTTAGGAAATTGCAGTATCGTGGGGGAAGATGTAGGGTGTGATTTTTTGCATTTCAGAGGGATTTGTGCTGTGTAATTAAGTGAATCTGCATTTACATGGATATCAGTTTATGACTTGCAGTTGTACTACTTGCAGTACATAAATGTGGTAAATCCAAATTCACTAATCAGAGTGCTAAGGTGATAAAAAAAATTCATTTTGATATTTTATGCTTCCACAGATTGAAAAGGAAAGAGTTTGTGTATTACTCACAGCGTAAGAGGAATTGTATTGCATCTGAAATTGCATTGTTATTTACTCTAGCCTCTGCTCCTGAACAAGACAGATTGCTTGGAGTTTCATTCAATAGCTTCATGTATTTAATGAAATATTGTGAAAATTGACATATTTATTATTGGGTTATTAGATGTGTTGAACTGGATTGTTGGGATGGAAAAGGTGAAGACCAAGAGCCAATAATAACGCATGGGAAAGCAATGTGTACAGATATTCTGTTCAAGGTAGAATTTATACGTCATTGACAACTTCAAATGTATAAGTCAAACTTTAAGCCCAAATCTTCTCAACAATACCTGAACTGGGAAATTCAGCTGTTCTCAAACTGTGGGTTGGGACCCCAAAGTGGGACACAACCCTGTTCTAATGGGGTCACCAGAGCTGGTGCTGGGACCAGGAGCTGAAGCCAAAACCTGAGCCCCACCACCTGGGGTTGAAGCTGAAGTCCAAAGGTATCAGTCCTGTTTGGCAGGGCCCAGGTTACAGGATCCCTCTTCCTGGGGTGAAGCTCTTGGGCTTTGGTTTTGCTCCTCCCCCCATCTGCGGTGATGGAGTTTGGGCTTTGGTTTTGACCCTTTACCTGGGGTTGCGAGTCTTAAGTGGACTCGGGCCTCAATCCCCCTTCCTCGGGTCGTGTAGTAATTTTTGTTGTCAGAAAGGGGGTCATGATGCAGTGACCGTTGGGAGCTGCTGAGCTAGCAAGTAGGGAACTCCGCAGAGAGGACTGACTCCTACCCCACGACACGGCGTGGCTGGTGCAGCATCCTGATGGAATGAATGATTCATATTGGGATCCTTCCAATGCCCCAAACTCCTTAACAGCTTGCTGCTGCCTCACTGCCTGTTCCCAGCCCCCTCTCCATGAAAGCCTGTGGGGAAGTGGCT